TACATCACATGGCTATCGTTCCCAGGTGACTGATACTCAGTCACCTGTGAACGATAGCCATGTGATGTATCAGTCACCTGGAGGCAGGACTCAAAAGCCTGAATTTTGCCTGAAACTCTCAGACTGAAGAAGTCTCTTGGAGGAGAGACGAAACGTTTCATTAGAGAAGAACCCGTCCAGAGGACCTATACTATTTTTTTTTCCTTTGATTTTTTACCTGGATTACTGAGATGCATCAGGACATTTCCAACATGACAATGCACCGTGCCATAGGACAAAAACAGTGAAGGCATTCCTTGGAGAAAGACACATTCAGTCGATGTCATGACCTGCAAATAGTCCAGATCTCAACCCAACTGAAAACCTGTGGTGGAAACTGGAAAAACTGGTCCAGAAGAAGCTCCGACCTGCAAAGCTGATCTGGTAACTGCTATCAAAGAGAGTTGGCACCAAACTGATGAAGAATACTGTTTGTCACTCATCCAGTCCATGCCTCAGAGACTGCAGCTGTTATAAAAGACAAAGGTTGTGCAACTAAATACCAGTGATGTATGTTGAACGGTCTTTAGTTTATCTGTTTGTCATGATTCCATACTGTTTTCCTCAGAATTGAGTGATTCCATATTTTTTCCCTGTGCTTGGTCAATAAAAGTAACATTCACTGACTTCCACAGTGTTTTCTCTTCATTTCTTTGAGTGTTTCTGAAAGACAACAAGTTGCACTTTGGAATGACCTTATTATTGTATCATGTTTTGATCTGAGTTTGTTTTACAGGATGAAATGTCTGAATGAGAGCTCATCCAAGACTGCTGATTCCAGACTTTTTGCCAGGGCTTGTATGTAGTTGATCAAAGAGCGACACTGGTCAGCTCTTTGGTTTTTCATATGGACGGATGGATGAAGAGAACAGACAGTCATAAAAATCACATCTGAGTTAATCAGCTCTTTTTTCAACAGATCTCATTACATGAACTCGGTGTGAGGACAAAGTCAGGTTTACAAAAACACATTGGATGGCATGTGCCTAAAGTGCTCGAGGCCTTTTGGGGGTTATTTGTTTGCTAGCTTGTTCCTCTTCTTGGAGTGCACAACGGAAAGACTTGACTTTATCTATGAGAGAGAACATCACACAGTTGTTACATTTTGGTTTTAGAGTCTTGATGCTGTGAAATTGCAATGCAGCTTCAATAATGTTTTGAAATTTTATCTTCAATTAATATTTGAAATCTTAGCTAGTCCTGATGGCTTCTTTCATTTTATGTCATCAACTTTTCTTGTCTTAATGTTTCTGCCTTGTAGGGTTTGGGAAATTGGACAGTTAAAGGGCCAATATTATGTGTTTCTCAGGCATATATTTAAATACTATACCATAATAAAGTATCTATGTCACC